TTCAGCTCACTTCAATGTCAACTGTAGCAATGAAACCACACCTGTGAGTCTGGGACACACACACACACCACCCCACACCTCACTCTACAGTCATGCAAAGCCATTCATTTGCAAGAACTAGAATAAAAATGATAAATCAACCCTCTGCTGTTTAAAGAGCCACCGACACAGAAAGTGCTTGCACTGATTCCTCATCACTCCTGAGCAAAGAGCCATCACATGAAAGCTTTCAGTTCTTGTGCTGGCAAACAGAAAATGGTAAATATTTGTTAAGTTTCAAAGCAAATTTCACAGATATCCCATCACTTCTTTGGGAAAGACACGCAGGAGCCATATCCTCTCAGCAGTACTCTCCTGGATGAGAGCACTAAAGAAACACGAGTCTGCCATCAGATAAAAGAAAAGCATCAAGGACCATTTCTCCTCATCCCTTACTATCCAGCACTGTAGAGTACTCCCTCAGTCTCTTCCCCATGGACAGGAGTGATTCCATACACACACAACTCCAAGCTGGAAGCTGCTAACACAAACCACTGAGGTGTGAACTTGGAGCACCCGTCACACCACACCAACATCGGCCACGACAACACACTTCTGCATATAACCTTAAATTCTATTAAAACAGAAAAAACAAAGCTTCTAAACTCCACTTGAACGGTGGATGGGCAAAGCCCAGCAGGTTCTTTTTTTTATCTTGGAAAACATAAAGAGGGGTGTTCTTACATTTAACATAAAATGCAGAAGCACAAAAAGCCGTCAGGAAGAGCAAACCAGCGCAGCTCTGCCTGTTCTGGTTGTTTTTAGCAAATATCTCACACACAGGCACATAGTACAGTGAAAACACGTTTGATGTGAGTTCTTTTTGTTCACGGGGGTTTACTCTGAAAGGATTCTTTAGGGATAGGTGACAGATCAATGACTTCCCTGTTCACACGCGGTGTTCACATCCCTGTTCAGGGTTTGAGTGCATCCAAGCCCAGGGACACAACCTGAAACGGAGCTGGTTCGAGCAACCCAACTAAAAGCAGTTTCACTTCTCTCTGGCTGTTTAGTTGATACATCCTACTAAACACCCCTGCAGCATCTGACACGCAAAGCCATCAGCGAGGGGGAACCACAGCGAAGCAGATTAAGCACAAAGTGGGTCAAGCGCTCCGAGTACACAGACCGGCGCTGTCAGGGGCTGTCACCTGACGCAAACTTCCACGTAAGAGCGACCTGCCACCTCCGCGAGCAAACTCAACCCTCCGCAAGTCGCCGGGACCGCACGATAATTACGTATTTTCATACGCGGACTTGGGGCTCCGCTCCCGGCGTTCCCCGCAAGAGCGGGACGGGGCTCCCGGGGCGAAGCGGAGCCGGGAGGGAGGGCAGGACGAGCGCGGAGGGAGCGGGACACGCACCGGGATAACCGGGAGGAACCCCCAAGCCGCCGCTGGGAGGGAGGGGACCTCCCTGCCACGCACGGAGCCGGGGGGGGCCCGGGGCAGCTCCGCCGCGGCGGGCGGGCCCCGGGGCGCGCCCGCGGACAGGCCCGGGGGCCGCGGGGCAGGGCGCCCG